TCCACCCCATCATCCAGATCGCTGATGAAGAAATTGAACAGCGCAGGCCCCAGGACCGAGCCCTGGGGGACTCCGCTACCCACCTCCCCCCAGGTTGAATATGACCCATCCACCACTACCCTCTGAGTGCGACCCCTCAGCCAATCTGCAATCCATCTGACTGTGTAGGCATCGATGCCACAGTCGCCTAGTTTTTTAACTAGGATGGGGTGAGAGACGGTGTCAAAGGCCTTGCTGAAGTGATAACAGAGAAGTGAATAGCGTGTGGTGTCTTGCAGACATATCTGTTAAATAGAATATAATATCCAATTGCAAATATTGCACTAGCCACTCACTAGAGGTCCAGTTGCACCCATGGCACCCGGAGGACCGGATTCACCCTAGAAATGCAAATGAAAGCACAAAAATATGTTAAAGGAAAATGAAACTACATTACTTCCCATCTCAATCTAAGTTTAATTTATAAGGAAAAATTTGCCTAGCAGTATTGGTGAGTTATATAAATCATACTCAATACTGATACAAAGAGTTGTATTTACATTTTCCCACTGAAGTAGCATGAGATATGATGTATCATTTCCAAATGTGGGTAGAAGACAATATACTCAATTCTTCCCAAGCATTATCACATCTGACCCATCAATTAGCTACCATAATCTGACAGTCAGCTAGATCATGACCAAATCATGTGTGGGCAGGGTAGGTAGACAAGGGCTAATAGCAACAAGAACTGTGAGAAAAAACTGCTCTCTTTCCTGGTACAGGAGAAGCAATCTAATCCAGATGACACAGTGTTTAAAAGGTCAGAAGACATCTGTGCTCTGTCTATTCTGTTTCTGATACTGATTTTGCTAGTTAAATGAATGGTGAGAAAGTCTCCAGCTGAGATGGGAGCAGCCATATGCTCTGTGCCCTGGGCTACAGCAAGGCCGGGCCAGAGCCAAAGCTGAAGAAGGAGAGAGGGAGGGAGGGAGGGAGGGAGGGAGAGCCAGGAGCTGGTGTAGGGCCAAGCTTCTGCAGTGAACTTTTTGCCACTGAGGGGCTGACCTAAATACATATATTAGCATGTACAGTAAAGACCCAGCAACAGGGACTTTGGCACCAAAAGCGGTGACTACTATTCCCTGAGGTCAAGTGAATGATGCCCAAAGAGAAGGCATCTATTGGTCAGAAGTGTTAAAATTAATAAGTTTGTTTCACCATGATGATTGATGGAAGCACCAACTGGATGCACGTTTAAGTGGCAGGTGCCCTAGAGAGATGATTGGATTGTAAATATGGAGTGATTTTAAGGATTAACAAGGGGCCTGAGCTCTTCTCTGTGTGTCTGAGCTTGGTGTGAGAAATGGTGTGTGCCTTGTAGGGTAGCCATCAGAGAACAGTCCAGTTGTCCTCTGTCCTCTATTCATAAGAAACCCAACACCTTTATGCCTTCTATTTTTCTCCTGACTATTCTGTTTTCTCCCCCTTACTGTTTTCTTACTTCTCAATGTAAATAATCTTGTAATTATTGTAAGTATTGTTGTTGTCTGTTATCATTAATACAATCCTGTGGTTTCCAGTTTAATTGAAGAGTCTGCTCATTTCTTTTTGCCGTGGGGTAGCTCTGGGCTTCAAGCGAACATCCTGCTTGGAGTCACCCACGATCATAAAAATCCTTTCCCTGGGCTGGGTTCTGAGAGGAGTAAAGCCCTCTTTTGCTTAATTAAGAGTCCAGCATTTAACACCATTTGTACTCAAATCCAAAACAAGGAGGGTTTTTTCCCCCATGTTAAATGCAGTGGGACCTTGTCTGGGGTTTGAGCAAATATGGCATGAAATGACAATGAAAACTGACAATTTACAAGCAGTTCTGCTCAGGAAATGTACAGATAGTATTGAGCAGAGGAGAATCTAAAGTTTGTTGCTTTAAAGATAAGTTGTTGCCAACTGTTTTAGCATCATAGGAAGCAGGAATAATCATTGTTATTCCAAAGGTTTTATTCTTTTGCCTTTAGGATCCTTCTGGATTCAAAGCACTAATATAAATCAAGCAGACAAGGCTAACACTGCGCAATTCCTCTGAAACTCCAAAGTTCATAATGGAAATACTGTATTACCTTGGCTCCCAGTGCTCCAGTCTCACCTTTAGGACCATCTAGTCCTTTGTGGCCCTGTGAGAAGAATTACAAAAATATGAAGATGCTCTATAATGCTCTAGAATATTATCAGTCAATCCTTTATTAAAGCATCAAGGGTGGATCTGAGGTTGAGAGAAGAAAAAATAAACACAGAAGGCAGATGGGAAAATAAATTCTAAAATCTTTTAAATTAAACAGTTTTTGAGAAGAATGATTCATGTCCCATTTAAAAACAAGAGTCTTGCAATATGTATACAAACCTTAAAAACAAGAGAACCTCAGAGGCACAATAAATCCTGTGCAGTGCTTCCTGAAGTAGAAGCTTAGCCACAAACCTGGGTAATTTGAAATTACTCTATGTATTTTGTAAACATATCCACCTCTAGTGTTCTCCATCTTGAAGTGAGAGCTGCCAGATCTGCCAGGTTTCTCCATATCTGAGTTTAATAATACTTAACTTTTTCCTGTTACAGGGGTGTAGCTTCTAGCCGTGT